TGTGATAGAACATGCTGTGATAGAACATGTTGTGATAGAACATGCTGTGATAGAACATGCTGTGATAGAACATGCTGTGATAGAACAGGCTGTGATGGAGCATGCTGTGATGGAACATGCTGTGATGGAACATGTTGTGATAGAACATGTGAGCAAAACTTTATGAGTTCTCGTTCCGCCTTTAAGGTTTTTTTAAACTTTAAGTGTTTAATCACCTGAAACTGAGACTCGTGTTTTCGTATCAGATGGGAGGTCCGGCCTATAGCAACCAGTTCATGGCCCACTCCGGCCCCCGCGGCCCCCCTGGCATGGCCCCCGGAGGTATGGGCCCCGGGCCTGGACCTAGCAGGGGCCCTCCCTCAATGGGCCACATGTATGGCCCTGGAGGGGGCCCCCAGAGGGTCCCACAGCACCCACAGCACCCTCAGCACCCTCAGCACCCACAACACCCTCAGCACCCTAACTACGGCCCAGGACCACAGCAGGGCCACCTGAGGCCCCCACAGGGCCTGAAACGGCCCTACAACTCTGAGGTGAAAGTCTGGAGGGGCCACACTGATCCACATCCACCTCCACCTGGTTTTAATGGGTCTACAATAGAGTTTATTTGTTTTAGATCACATTAGAAATCTTCCTCTGTGTTCTTCTCCTTCGTCCTCAGTCTTTCCCAGGAATGTCTCAGCAGTACGGCGGTCCCGTTGGTCCCAGCGTGAACGTGATGTCGGGTCCCGGTGGCGCCGGCAGTTCAATTCCCGGTTCAGGTGGAGGCGGCCACGGGGGCCACGGTTCGTACTCCAACCCCAACATGCAGTACCATCCAGGTGAGACGTCTGCAGGTTCAGCACTTTAACACAATGTGGGATCATTTGTGATTAGTCGCTGTGCTCTTGTGAGATGCACCTGAGAGGGGGCGGAGCTTCCCTCCAAGTAGAGGTCCTGGAGGGTCCTCAGGATCCTGGAAGCGTACAGGTCCTTGATGTCCTCAGGATCCTGGAAGCGTACAGGTCCTTGATGTCCTCAGGATCCTGGAAGCGTACAGGTCCTTGATGTCCTCAGGATCCTGGGAGCGTACAGGTCCATGATGTCCTCAGGATCCTGGAAGCGTACAGGTCCTTGATGTCCTCAGGATCCTGGAAGCGTACAGGTCCATGATGTCCTCAGGATCCTGGAAGCGTACAGGTCCATGATGTCCTCAGGATCCTGGAAGCGTACAGGTCCTTGATGTCCTCAGGATCCTGGAAGCGTACAGGTCCTTGATGTCCTCAGGATCCTGGAAGCGTACAGGTCCTTGATGTCCTCAGGATCCTGGAAGCGTCTTCCATTGTTTATTAGAAATATTCATTAAAATTTAGCAAAAGTATCACTTGATAGCAGTTAAAACTCTGGAGTCTTAATAATTGGTAAAAAAAAATTAAAACAAACTTTTGAAACCAAACATGTTTAAATATATAAAAGCCAGAATAACATTTAAGTAAATAAATGTACTTGTTCTCTGTCGGATGTTAGCTTAGCTTAGCACGAAGACTGGAATCAGGGGGAGCTGTTAGCCTGGCTCCTTTTTAAAGTTCAGGTGTAATTCGTGGTCTTTCCCGTCTGTTTACCTTCAGGTCCCGGCGGTCCAGGCCCCGCCCCCCAGCGCTCTGGCTCCTCCCCCTCCTACCAGACCCATAAGATGTCCCTCCCACAGTACCCCCCATCAGGACCACCCAACTCACAGTACTACAAGGTGAGGAGCTCTGTGTGTTGTGTATTTACACACATGAGAAGGTAGAAGCAGGTAAACATCAACATGTGTTGTTGTTTGTGCAGCAGGAGCAGTTTAATGGTCAGAGTGGAGGTCTGAACGCCATGACAGGAGGAGGCGCCGGAGTCTACAGCTCCTTCAACCAGCCGTCTGCGGTGAGGGGACCTGAGTGTTCTCATGTACTTCTACTTTGTTCTTCTACTCATCCTCAACATCTCTGAGGGGACCTCTGAGTGTTCTCATGTACTTCTACATTGTTCTTCTACTCATCCTCAACATCTCTGAGGTGAATGATGTTTTTATTTTTTAAACACGAAGAATAATTTAAACCGTACCTAATTTTTATCCTCCTTATGAAGGCAAATCACTGTCAAAATCCGAGAGCGCAAATGAGATCCATGCGCGTGCGAAAATCAAACAGCCGCGCACGTATTTTACTTTGACGAGCGCTGTTACGTCACTCCGCCAGCAGAATTCACTCTCGCGAAGCTTAAACCCGCTCGCTCGCGAGTAGTTTTTCTTTGTGACAGTAAGTGGGCGGAGCCAGTCTCCATCATATCTCTACATCTGATTGGTCACAATCCTGGTCTTGGGATAGACCGGATATCACTCTAACGCAGACGCTAGGTCTGATAGAGGTGGTTCTCAATCGGCCACTAAACACTACTCCACTACATCTCAGCATGTTCTACATTTGTCCGACAGGTTTTGTAAACGTTTCAGACTGTAGAGGCTGATCAAATACACGTTATGTTAATAGAGTTGTTAAATACAATAATTAAAATGTGTTAAAGTCAAGTTGCTCAGATTGGTTTAAATTCACTCCATCATTCTATTACAGACAATGTGTGTTTGATACTCAAACAGCTCAAAGAACTCTTTGATCTTAATTGATTAAACATGATGTGATCATATTTAATCTACTGTTGTGTTTACAGAAGAGATATAATATAGTTGTATATAATATGAGCAACAATGTGGACCTGCTCAAAGATCTGGAGCCAAGATTAGGGACCACTGTTTGTATATTAGCTGTTAAATCACTGACAAGTAGTTAGTGGATGAAAAAGTATTCAGATCCTTCACTGCAGTAAACGTACTAACACCATACTGATGAAACAATAACCCACTACCAGTAAAATACCTGCATTCAAAACCTCAGTCAATGTTATTATCAGCGACATCTACTTTAAGTGCAGAAAGTAAAAGTACCCGTGCAGTGAAATGTACATTATTTGCCCCTGACCTGTAATCTGAAGATCTCCCCCGAGCGTCTGCGTCAGTGATATCCATCTTTGTTCATAGCAGTACTTTAAAATATAAGTGCACAATACACTACTTTTGAGTTAATTATTGAACTTTGCTCATAACAATGAGATTAATCGCAAAAAAATCATGCGATTTAAAAATGTTAATTGTTGCCCAGCTCTAGTTTACACAGGTACACAACCTGGTTAAAGTGAATGCTTTCTTAGAGCAGAGGTTTATAATGAGAGATGAAGAATAAAATGCTTTTATGAAATATCACAACTTTAAGCTCAGATTTGGCTGTTTTTTCTAACTGAAGAGTTTGTCACACATGATGTGTTTAAGGACCGTCGGAAAGATGTAAATCTGACGATTATGATGTTTTTACAGCTTCTGGCTGATAATCGATGTAGTTTTGGAGATGAAGGAAAACATGCTTTCCCATCCCGCGGGTGGGTTTCTGGGTTCAGAGACTCTGATACCAGGAGGTTCATCTGGAACCTTCAGGAACACAAATGAGTGAGGATGAGTCATTCTCACTGTGACTCTGTGACAGTAAGAATAAATAAGTTCCTCTCTCTGTGTCTCAGCCCGGTCGAGGGTTGCCAGGTTACCCCCCCTCTCCGGTTCCTGGAAACCCGACCCCCCCCATCACCCCCAGCAGCTCCATGGCCCCGCCTTACATGTCGCCAGGCAGCAGTGACGTCAAGCCGCCGCCCTCTTCCTTCCTGCCTGACATCAAACCCAACATGGCCGGCCTTCCACCGCCCCCCCCTTCAGGTACAAACACACACACACACTTCTATGTCGTCATAGTACAAGTCACGGCCTGAATTACTGAAATAATCTCATTGTTAACGTTGAAATAATCTCATTATTGATGGTGATGATGTCACAGTGTGCAGGTGTCTGACCTGTGATGACTTCCTGTTAACAGGCAACCCTAGCGACGACCTGCGGCTGACCTTCCCGGTGCGTGACGGCGTGGTCCTAGAGCCCTTCAGATTAGAGCACAACCTGGCTGTCAGCAACCACGTCTTCCAGCTGAGAGACTCCGTCTACAAAACACTCATCCTGAGGTACACACGGTACAAAGAAGCGTTAGCAGCACCGCTAACGGCTAACCAACGGAGGTTCACTTCAGTTACATCATGATGCCTTCAGGCTCTGCTCAGTGAATAAATAAATAAATCATTAAGTAATTTGTGTCTCTCAGACCGGACCTGGAGCTCCAGTTCAAGTGTTACCACCACGAGGATCGACAGATGAACACTAACTGGCCCGCCTCAGTCCAGGTCTGACCTTCTCCTTCTTCATCTTCTCCTCCTCCTCGTCTTTTGTCTTTTTCGTCTACTCCTTGTCCTTCTTCGTCTTCTTCTTCTTTCTTGTTATTATATATATTATAAGAGTATATTGAGTCACAAACAAACCTGATATAACTGAATAACAGTAGATGATACAACAGGCGTGGACTCAATATACTCTTCCTTCTCCTTCTCCTCCACCTCCTCCTCCTTCTCCTTCTTCTTCTCCTCCTCCTCCTCAGGTGAGCGTGAACGCGACTCCTCTCACCATTGAGCGAGGCGACAACAAAACTTCCCACAAGCCTTTGTACCTGAAGCAGGTGTGTCAGCCGGGCAGGAACACCATCCAGATCACCGTCACCGCCTGTTGCTGCGTAAGGACCTCCCTCACTGACTCACCTGTGTTAATGCTCAGCTGTGTTTACCTTAACCCACCTGTCTGTCTCTCTGCAGTCTCACCTGTTCGTCCTCCAGTTGGTCCACCGTCCGTCGGTCCGGTCGGTGCTTCAGGGTCTGATGAAGAAGAGGCTGCTGCCTGCAGAGCATTGTGTCACCAAGAGTCAGTAGAACTTCTTCTTCTTCTGCTTCTTCTGCTTCTTCTGCTTCTGCTTCTTCTCCTGCTTCT